TTTTCCGACGCATATCAGCCAATCAAAGATCAGGATCAGGTGTAACGTAAAGAAATTCAAACTTTGCAAAAATCGCATTTATCTCAAAATTTAGTCTAGTAAACCATCCTTGGAGTCCTAATAAAAAATTTTTCTTATGCAATTTTGCTATATTATTTTTCTTCCTAACCTTAGTCCAAATATAAAAGATGCTTTTAGCTCAACAACGTTTGTTTTCCGAGTATTAAAATCGACCCTACTCCCTGTCAAAATTTTCTCACTCGTTCTACTGTTACGATGATACCCAGCGCAATCTCACTTGCTAATTTCCCGGGAGCAAATCATCAAATTACTCAGCTCAAATTATTACAATGTATTCTGCGGACTTAAAGTTCTTTAATTGAATTTATTTCCGGCACCTTTGGCTAACCGGCATTCTTCCAAACACATGACCACTCGTACCTGTGCTTTTCGACAATATTTATATAGATTCTAATAACGATGAAAGAATAAGTATATATCTTCGGTAATTTCACTAGAAACTTTTTTACCTATAAATTTTATTCTATGATCTTATGGTCACACATTTAAAGGGAGGGTTTATAATAACTCATTTTTTAAAATTTTTATTCAAACAAATACGGTTAAAATTATAGCAATCTGCAAATTGTGATTCACCAACTTGACAGTATATTTTAATAGTAAACAAAAATTACGCACTAACAATTCAAATTGCATGATATTTATTTACATTTATAGTATTCCGATATAACTGACCACTTTGCCAAAAGTTCGGATAATTTTAGATGAATAAATTTTTGATAAAAATTTTTTTTACTGATTAATGGTTCGGGTGGAGCTCCATCATCAAACCGACTGGCCAGCAACTCAAAATTAGCATCAATCTTCTCTAAACATTTTCGCAATTTCTTAATTTCAGTAACAAATTTTACTACAGATTCAGCATCCCACAGAATAGTAAGTCCAACTCTAACTGTAGGACAGACCGGAATACCGACATCGATCAACGTTTGTCTTACTTTAATTGGACTGTAAGTGAAATCATATATATGTGCAATTAACCTCTCATTATGAGCTTGCAGAGTCACATATCCGATCCCCTCAAGTAACTTTTGAACAGATAGCGACATATATGCAGGATTAAAATTGTGACGAACATGAGCTCCAGACATCAACATTGCAAACTTAAGCTTTATTTCATCATATTCTTTCTTATTAAAAGATGAATTTGTAGGTTTACTTGATTCAAGTGATCCTACTTCCATTTTGAATCGAGAGAGTATGCTTTCACATATTAATCTTCCGTCAGGACGTATTCCATTTGTTGTATTACCAGTTTCTGAAAAATGGTCGGCGTTCAAATTGACGAATACAAACTCACTCCCACTAATATAATTATCACTGTTTGAACATGATGAATTAGTTGTGTGATTCGAGTGTGAAATAAATGATTCTCTACTAGCTTCTCGGCTCGACTCCGTAAAAGATTCATCCCTATGTTAAAACATATTAGTAAACGACTTAAATAAAAAATATAATTAAAGTATTATGCACACGTACATCTTAAATTTTAGATATTTCAGACCTGAAACTAGAACTCTGAACATCGGATACAAAACTTCTATATGCCAAGATTTTTCGGACATATCTTCTATATTAAAACCTACAAATTTCTCTTGTATATTTTTACTGCAAGGAGTGTTAAAATATGAAAGTACAAGTTTAAGGTGAATATTAATTTAATATACTTACAATGTATTTAAAAATTCAATAATCCATGGCTCATCCTCAACATCGTCAAATCCAGCGTACTTCGTATCATTAATATGGGTTTTAATCCACTCAGTAGCATGAATACTAAGATGGTTGTCGGAGTAAGGAATTGGATTATCTACTATCAAATAATATTGATCATTGATATTGTCTCGTTTAGTATCACAGATTTCAGATCGTTCGAGATTTTCAAATATTTTCTTTATAAAATCAGACAAATATGTTTGGTCCGCTTTAGGTTTGATCATCTGCAAAAAAATAAATAAATAAATAAATAAAAATAAATTAAATAGTTAAAAATTCTAGACTGAACAAGAAAACAAAATTTTACTTTTATATATTCTACGACCATCTTAGACCAGCGGTTTTCACGATTGATTCTATACATTTTTTCTATTTCTAAAAATGTTCTATGCCCTTTGATGCTTAATATAATGTTTGACCAATTTTCTCTGATTATTGTTTCATCGCGCTTTAATATAAAAGTATATAAATTGTTAGTGACTAAAATAAAATATACATTAAAGAATAGAAAAAAATAGTATCAGAAGTTTTAGTATGATGTTATGAATTGTTAGAGCTATATAGCCCAGAACTAACTCTATCTAAAGTAAAAAATGCTAAGATACAAAAGGACAGTCTGTTGGTAGAGCTGTAAGGCTCAAGACCAATGGAATATGTACGCAAGGGGTAGTTCAGCTGTAAGGCAGAAAATGTTTAGGCACAAAATGGAAATTCAGTAGGTAGAGCTGTAAGGCTCAAGACCATACTATATCTAAAGGGTGATAAAAAGCACAAAAAGAGCGATTCGGTTGGTAGAGCTGTAAGGCTCAAGACCATACTATATCTAAAGGGTGATAAAACACAAAAAGAGCGATTCGGTTGGTAGAGCTGTAAGGCTCAAGACCATACTATATCTAAAGGGTGATAAAGCACAAAAAGAGCGATTCGGTTGGTAGAGCTGAAAGGCTCAAGACCATACTATATCTAAAGGGTGATAAAGCACAAAAAGAGCGATTCGGTTGGTAGAGCTGTAAGGCTCAAGACCATACTATATCTAAAGGGTGATAAAGCACAAAA